ATGGTGCAGGAGGCATGGTGCAGGAGGCATGGTGCAGGAGGCATGGTGCAGGAGGCATGGTGCAGGAGGCATGGTGCAGGAGGCATGGTGCAGGAGGCATGGTGCAGGAGGCATGGTGCAGGAGGCATGGTGCAGGAGGCATGGTGCAGGAGGCATGGTGCAGGAGGCATGGTGCAGGAGGCATGGTGCAGGAGGCATGGTGCAGGAGGCATGGTGCAGGAGGCATGGTGCAGGAGGCATGGTGCAGGAGGCATGGTGCAGGAGGCATGGTGCAGGAGGCATGGTGCAGGAGGCATGGTGCAGGAGGCATGGTGCAGGAGGCATGGTGCAGGAGGCATGGTGCAGGAGGCATGGTGCAGGAGGCATGGTGCAGGAGGCATGGTGCAGGAGGCATGGTGCAGGAGGCATGGTGCAGGAGGCATGGTGCAGGAGGCATGGTGCAGGAGGCATGGTGCAGGAGGCATGGTGCAGGAGGCATGGTGCAGGAGGCATGGTGCAGGAGGCATGGTGCAGGCGTCTAAGCCCATAGTTAGAAGGGCAACAGTATCTGGAAGAAATGCTTAAGCAGCAGGAACAACAGTGGAGGGGTGGAAGGGTGGAGGGATATGTATCTTCTCCCCCTTCTAAGTCTAAACCCTTAGTTGCTTTTTGACAATATGCACAGGCATGTGCACAGGCATCTGCACAGACATCTGCACAAGGATATGGGGCGCACAGCTCACCTCATGCACACGAAGCCGTTCAGGATGGAGCCGTAGTATGAAGTTTCTGCCACACCAGGCCCGCCATGCACAGCCTTGCGCAACAGCTGCCCGCTCCCATTCTTGCCTTTGAAGGGGCTCCACACGTCGGGAAAGCCGTGGAACCCGTGAATGCCCTGTGAGGGGTAGGGTAGACAGACAGATGCACAGTTGGTTATGCGTGAAGACAAGCAGATACGGCAGCACATGGGCAGACAGGCAGATACGGCAGCACATGGGCAGACAAGCAGATACGGCAGCACATGGGCAGACAAGCAGATACGGCAGCACATGGGCAGACAAGCAGACACGGCAGCACATGGGCAGACAAGCAGATACGGCAGCACATGGTCAGACAAGCAGATACGGCAGCACATGGTCAGACAAGCAGATACGGCAGCACACGGGCAGACAGGCAGATACGGCCGCACATGGATGGGAGTACAGGCAGGCAGGTGCGAGATAGGATGGTTTGAAGAGGGAAAGAGAGGGGTGGGCGCACAGAGGGGCGCAGGGAGTGAGACAGGAGGCGAAAGAAGCAGCAAAGGACATTCACGGTACACAGCATGCACGGGATGGTGTGGGTGCAGACTTGCAGGCAGCAACACGCTCGAACCCGGGCATGCATGCAGGCAGCAACACGCTCGAACCCGGGCATGCATGCAGGCAGCAACACGCTCGAACCCGGGCATGCATGCAGGCAGCAACACGCTCGAACCCGGGCATGCATGCAGGCAGCAACACGCTCGAACCCGGGCATGCATGCAGGCAGCAACACGCTCGAACCCGGGCATGCATGCAGGCAGCAACACGCTCGAACCCGGGCATGCATGCAGGCAGCAACACGCTCGAACCCGGGCATGCATGCAGGCAGCAACACGCTCGAACCCGGGCATGCATGCAGGCAGCAACACGCTCGAACCCGGGCATGCATGCAGGCAGCAACACGCTCGAACCCGGGCATGCATGCAGGCAGCAACACGCTCGAACCCGGGCATGCATGCAGGCAGCAACACACGGTACTGGCTGGCTGCTAGCTTGCCTTCATGTCGGCCTTCTCGGCGTAGACAAAGGCCGTGCGCAAGGGCTTGTGGAGGAAGACGGGGAGGAAGCCAAAGAAGTAGCGGATCTCTGAGTCGCCTGCCGTAGGAGGGTGTGATAACGGAGGGTGTGATAACGGAGGGTGTGATAAAGGAGGGGGTGCAAGCAGAACAGCATACATGGCATTACAATAAGAGTGGAGGAAGACCGGGAGGAAGCCAAAGAAGTAGCGCATCTCTGAGTCGCCTGGCGTGCTCTCATGCCAGGTGGGAAAGAAGGGGGTTTGTTATCTGCGCGCGAGAGTGTGTGCAGAACATTGGTAGGAAGCCGAGCCGATGCTGTCACCTCACCCCTCGATATCCATGAGCACCCCTCCCTACTCATGAGCACCCCTCCCTACCCATGAGCACCCCTCCCCTACCCATGAGCACCCCTGCCCTCCCTACCCATGAGCAGAATGCGCTGCTTGCGGTGGAAGCACTGGAGGGCATCAGAGGGCTCTACGGACTTGAGGCGGCACGCGTGGGGGCGCCACTGCTGGTCCTTCCAGTAGCCCTCGTTGCCAGAGGAGCGCAGCAGGGCAGGCGTGCACCAGGGGAGGCTCTCTCTGCTCATCAGGGAAAGGGTACAAGAGGAAAGCATTTGAGAAATCTCAGAGCAGGGCAGGCGTGCACCAGGGGAGGCTCTCTCTGCCCATCAGGGAGGGGGTGCAAGGGGAAAGCCTTTAAGAAATCTCAGAGAAGGGCAGGCGTGCACCAGGGGAGGCCCTCCCTGCGCCGCAGGTAGAAGGTTGGTGGAAGGAAGGGAGGGCTTGTGAGGGTTTGTGAGGCGCCTTAGGTTTGCAGCTATTCAAATATGAGTTGAGGGGTTGTGAGGGGTTGGGAGGCACGGCCGGTTGCAGGTATTCCATTTACGAGGTTGGATTCTGAGAGCAGCGCTGCACACGTTTGAGTCAAGTCAAAAGTCGCCACATGCTTACCTAAGTGCATCTGGGGAGTACGGCTGGGGGCTGGAAACCTGTGTTGCACCCCGTGCTCCAGCTTATTGCCACCTCACCAAGACATCACCTCACCGAGACATCACCTACTAAGACATCACCTCACTGAGACATCACCTCACTGAGACATCACCTAACTGAGACATCACCTCACTGAGACATCACCTCACTGAGACATCACCTCACTACTGAGACATCACCTCACTACTGAGACATTACCACCACACTCACCTGAGCGCGTCTGGGGAGTACTGCGGGGGGCTGGAGACCTGCATTGCACAAAGAGACCTCACCTCATTGATGAGCCATCACGCTCACCTGAGCGCATCTGGGGAGTACCGCGGGGGGCTGAAAACTTGCAGCTTGGGAAGGGAGTCTGTTTTTGAGTCGACCCAAAAACAATCCGTGTGTGATGAGACGAGACTCATCTTACCTGAGGAGACACCACGCTCACCTGAGCGCATCTGGGGAGTACCGCGGGGGGCTGAAAACTTGCAGCTTGCGAAGGGAGTCTGTTTTTGAGTCGACCCAAAAACAATCCGTGTGTGATGAGACGAGACTCATCTTACCTGAGGAGACACCACGCTCACCTGAGCGCATCTGGGGAGTACCGCGGGGGGCTGAAAACTTGCAGCTTGCGAAGGGAGTCTGTTTTTGAGTCGACCCAAAAACAATCCGTGTGTGATGAGACGAGACTCATCTTATCTGAGGAGACACCACGCTCACCTGAGCGCATCTGGGGAGTACCGCGGGGGGCTGAAAACTTGCAGCTTGCGAAGGGAGTCTGTTTTTGAGTCGACCCAAAAACAATCCGTGTGTGATGAGACGAGACTCATCTTACATGAGGAGACACCATGCTCACCTGAGCGCATCTGGGGAGTACCGCGGGGGGCTGAAAACTTGCAGCTTGCGAAGGGAGTCTGTTTTTGAGTCGACCCAAAAACAATCCGTGTGTGATGAGACGAGACTCATCTTATCTGAGGAGACACCACGCTCACCTGAGCGCATCTGGGGAGTACCGCGGGGGGCTGAAAACTTGCAGCTTGCGAAGGGAGTCTGTTTTTGAGTCGACCCAAAAACAATCCGTGTGTGATGAGACGAGACTCATCTTACCTGAGGAGACACCACGCTCACCTGAGCGCATCTGGGGAGTACCGTGGGGGGCTGAAAACTTGCAGCTTGCGAAGGGAGTCTGTTTTTGAGTCGACCCAAAAACAATCCGTGTGTGATGAGACGAGACTCATCTTACCTGAGGAGACACCACGCTCACCTGAGCGCATCTGGGGAGTACCGCGGGGGGCTGAAAACTTGCAGCTTGCGAAGGGAGTCTGTTTTTGAGTCGACCCAAAAACAATCCGTGTGTGATGAGACGAGACTCATCTTACCTGAGGAGACACCACGCTCACCTGAGCGCATCTGGGGAGTACCGCGGGGGGCTGAAAACTTGCAGCTTGCGAAGGGAGTCTGTTTTTGAGTCGACCCAAAAACAATCCGTGTGTGATGAGACGAGACTCATCTTACCTGAGGAGACACCACGCTCACCTGAGCGCATCTGGGGAGTACCGCGGGGGGCTGAAAACTTGCAGCTTGCGAAGGGAGTCTGTTTTTGAGTCGACCCAAAAACAATCCGTGTGTGATGAGACGAGACTCATCTTACCTGAGGAGACACCACGCTCACCTGAGCGCATCTGGGGAGTACCGCGGGGGGCTGGAAACTTGCAGCTTGCGAAGGGAGTCTGTTTTTGAGTCGACCCAAAAACAATCCGTGTGTGATGAGACGAGACTCATCTTACCTGAGGAGACACCACGCTCACCTGAGCGCATCTGGGGAGTACCGCGGGGGGCTGAAAACTTGCAGCTTGCGAAGGGAGTCTGTTTTTGAGTCGACCCAAAAACAATCCGTGTGTGATGAGACGAGACTCATCTTACCTGAGGAGACACCACGCTCACCTGAGCGCATCTGGGGAGTACCGCGGGGGGCTGGAAACTTGCAGCTTGCGAAGGGAGTCTGTTTTTGAGTCGACCCAAAAACAATCCGTGTGTGATGAGACGAGACTCATCTTACCTGAGGAGACACCACGCTCACCTGAGCGCATCTGGGGAGTACCGCGGGGGGCTGAAAACTTGCAGCTTGCAAAGGGAGTCTGTTTTTGAGTCGACCCAAAAACAATCCGTGTGTGATGAGACGAGACTCATCTTACCTGAGGAGACACCACGCTCACCTGAGCGCATCTGGGGAGTACCGCGGGGGGCTGGAGACTTGCAGCTTGCGAAGGGCCACAAGGCTATAGCTGCACGGGGGGGAGCCGTGGTGTGAGGGCGGGACATGCACGGGTAGGCGATGGGTTGGTTGTTGTGAGGGGCGGATGAGGGGATTGATGGGAGATGAGATGTATGAAGAATGCCGGCAAATTCCTCAAAAGGTGCAGCTGGCAGGCATTGAGAGCAGTGCGCAGCTGGCAGGCATTGAGAGCAGTGCGCAGCTCCTTAATTACCTACTTTTGGTAGCCTTGGTTGTAAGCTCTGTCGAGAATAGTGCGCAGCTGACATACGTTGGTGAAGACCAGATGCAGCGAGAGCAGGTAGGGGCCTGGGAAGGGCGCTGTGAAGCAAACCTGTGGACGCACGGACGGAGAGAAGGAGCGGTGGAGGAAGGAGAGGCGGGTGCGATGAAACGAAGGCTTTTGAGATGTCTTAAAGTCGCAGGCAGAGAGGGGAAAGTGAGAGGCGGGTTGGATGAAAGGAAGGCGAGGGTGGAGTGAGGGAGAGGTGATGGAGTGAGGGAGAGGTGATGGAGTGAGGGAGAGGTGATGGAAGGAGGGATGAGTGGCGACAGGATGGGAGGGTGAGAGGGAGCTGCTCCTGGCAGCGGTGGGCAGTGGAAGGCAGTGGGCCTTTTTAGGCGCCTCACATGTCTATTCATTAGAGGGGGCGAATCACCTGGTGTGAGGAGGAGGAAGGCCGGTACTTGACTCGAGCTGCCAGTCGCAAGTCAGTCCACCCGTCCACAGCATCATCCCATGCCGGCGCCTCTGTCACTCTCGCCGTTCTCCTGAACTCCCTCCACCTCCTCTCAACAGCCCCAACACGCACCCCGCTGCCGCTGCTGCTCCCACTGGTGCTGCTGTTGCCACCACGGCTGCCGGCACTGCTGCTGCTGCTGCCATTGATGGTGTTGGTGGTGAGGGAGCGATTGGTGACGGTGTCAAATGCAAGTAGCGCCATGAAGAACGCCCGCTGCCTGCAGCAGAACGCAGACAGGGCGAGTGGGAGTGGAGAGGGGCGACTGAGAGTGGAAAGTGGTGATGGAAAGGGGTGGAGAGGGGCGATTGATTGCACGAGGCTGAGGAGGCAGGCAAAGAGGCGGGGCGGGGGGAGATGGAGTGCGCATGGCAAGGGAAGATGGGTGTTGCAATTGGGTAAGGATGGCAAGGCATGCGGGGGAAAGAGAGAAGGAGAGGAGCGGGAGAGAGAGGGAGGTGCGATGGACACAGCACCTGCAACCAAGGTCGAACGCTTCTCCCGCTCTCTAAGGCCTACATAGCCCACCTGTCCGTTACTGACGCACCTGCAACCAACGTCGAACGCTTCTCCAACTTCATCGAATGCTGCCACGTGCAACACCAGCAGCACCAGCAGCGACAGCAGCAACAGCAGAGACAGCACCAGCACCAGCCGCGATAGCAGCGGCAGCAGCAGCAGCGGCGGCGGCGGCGGCGGCAGCAGCAGCAGCAGCAGCAGCAGCAGTGGCAGCATGGGTGGCAAGACGGACCATGCAAGTCAAGCACGTGCAAACCAATGGATGGCATGGATGCAGAGACAGACCAATGGGGGCATGGATGCAGAGACAGACCAATGGGGGCATGGATCGTCATCATGCCATTGATAGGATCACCTGATGCTCTCTTAGGAGGCTTGGAACAATATATAGGAGTAAGAGCACGAGCAACTTGTAAGTGAACAAGAAGGGTAGCTGTGTGCTGTGTGCAGTGTGCTGCGTGCTGTGTGCTGCATGCTGCGTGCTGCGTGCTGTCCCTCTAGCCCCGGCCCCCGTCTTTCCAGGCCCACCAGTGACGGAGAAGCACGTGCGCTGGTTGACAACGGCCCTCTCCGCGCCCGCCCCTTCCACCTCCACTCGCCCAAACTTCGCCGCCGCCGCCACGCTCCACCCTTCCCCCGCCCGCCGCTCCTCCTCCACCCCACACTCCCCCTCCGCCCCCACCCCCGCCTCCGCCTCCGCCCCCGCCTCCGCCTCCGCCCCCGCCCCCGCCACTTCCAGGCGCATTGGTTCTGCTTCTGCTGCCACCGCGCCCGGCTCTTTTTCCGATTCATTCTGCGCCATCCCCATTACAGAGTCTCCTCGTACCCCTAGTAGGTCGTCCGCGGATCTGACCTGCTGCTCCGTTATAAGCAGTCCCGCTGCGCCCTTGTGCTGCGACAGCGGCGACTGCGAATGGTACAGCAACACGGGCTGGCCGATAACTGGAGGCCGGGGCGGGGATTAGGAGGAGAGAGTTATGGGCGGATGAGGGAATGCGGGTATAGAAACACGTTTTGAAGCGCCTCAAATGGCGGGCGAGGGATGGGACCGCAGCGCGGGCACGATGAGAAGGCCGGGAAGGGCGGCAGGACAGACAAAGAGCTGATGGGAGGTGAAGCGAAATGCTGACTTGCACATGCGCCGCTGCTGCACTCACGCGCTGCTGCCAGTGCACTCACGCGCTGTCATGTCCGGGGGCGAGAGAGTGATCACGGCGTGGAGGGCCAGGTAGACGGACAGCACGATCGCGCTAGGGAGCAGCACGATCGCGCCGCCGGGTAGCAGCACGGCGGCCGACGCGACCAGCCCGCGCCGCTTCGCGACATTCGCCGCTCCTGTAGCCACGCCCTTTCCCATGCTCTACTAGCAAAGTGAGCCTGGCCGGCATCGGTTTGCCGATGCGACTATTCAATAGTTCTCGCCGAGAAGATCTCGCTGGGCAGGATGACTCGAGTCGAGTGCTAGGACCTTCCTAGGGTTTGTGCTGGAGGCGAAGTACAGTGATCTCAAATTCGCGAGATCTGTTTTCCCTAAGCTTCGTTGCGGTGACAGCTGCTGGGGGTGTGACGGGAAGAGCCAACCAGAGCAGCCCTTCGGAATTAATTCAGATTATCTCAAGGAAACGAACTCTCATCCACACGCGCGCAGCCAGCTGCCACTGCTGGCTTGACACGTGCCATGACCATCAGTAGTGGTAGCTAGCGACGCGGGACGAGACGGTATGTGGTAGCGTGGGCGGGCAAATGGAAACGCTTCATCCCACGCACCACAGCTCACCACACCACCAATCAGCACAATTGGCCGGACTGCACTGCACCACAGTAAATACTGACGGCCAACTTTACCCCCCCTGCTATTGTGCGTAGATTCAGAGACGTGTATCCGCGTACTGTAGCTCCAGGGTACACCAGCCTCTTATCAGTAACCAATTTTTGGAATCAGCAAGACCTATCGGTAACCAAGATAGTGTCAAATTGTACACATGGGTGTCTTTAATCAGGGTATATTCATAAAAAGGAAGATTTTATTAAAAAGAACTCATGGAGTTCAAGCATACATGTTTTAGAAGGCTTATGAAACATTCCCAAGGCTGTACTCCTGGAATATAAAAGTACAAAGGCTTCAATGCAAATACGGTAGGTTATTATGTTTCTAAGCAAGCGGTGGTGAACCAAATATCCAGCATGGCAAGTGTAACTATCCACGAGTAATGTGTGCTGTCAGGTGACAAGTCAGGACGAGGGAGCGTTAGTGAGGTCATTGGCATAAACCTTTCAAATCCTTCTTGTGGTAGCAGCCTGACATGGAAAAGGAAAGAACATCATTAGGGGGTTTAGAGGATCATAGCAGGAAGCACAGAGTTTGGTTGAAGGCATGCAGTCCAATGGAAGGATTTATGGTTACATGAACAGTAAGTTCGGAAGGAAAATCATTTCTTGATGCTATTGAAGCAAGAAAGATGGCATTTTCCCTGCCTTGTCAATATTCTCTCTGCTTTGAATCATGTTCAGTCACTTGCTGTTGAAATTTTGTGCACTGGTGTGAATTAACGTCTGATTGTGGTTCAACGCAGTTCAATTTTGAGTGATGAGAGTCCGACATGAGGTGAGGTGAGTGACATGCTGCAAAAGCAAAGCACCACCAACTCGAAAGCTTCCTTCTGAGGTACTACCTTCCTGGAAGCTTCTTGCTGAAGCGTCACCCACCTGAAAACGTCCCCTGAAGTACCACCCACCTGGAAGCTTCCTCCTCGAAGGCTATGCCGCGCACGTTGTTGCTTCGGTTGATCACCCAGCGCGGCTTGATGTCCTCTCTGGCCGCCCACGGGCCAAAGACGGTCACTCGCCGCCGCGCGCCCTGCAAGTGGTGGCGCATGCTGGGCAGCAGGTGCGAGGCTGAGAGGGCCAAGGAGAGGAAGATGGGTACACAGCACAGAGCACATGAGACGGCAACAAGAGGAAGCGATGGCAGGCAGCATGCACGTGCACACGAGAGAGCAGCAGATGTGAGGCTGGGAGTGAAATGGATGCACGACTGTGGAGCGAGGAGGGAGTGGAGTGCAATAGCACAATTAGAACACCACAATGAAACTGGGGAAGAATGGAGATGCTTTGAACGCATGTGCAGTGCGAGAGTGCAATCACAGCAGGTGATAACAATAACAAGAAGAAGAAGAAGAAAAAAGAATCCCATTCTCTCTCCACGCACTTGCCGCTATTCTGTAGTCCAGTGTTGAGTTATGTGTGGTGAGATCATGCAGCGAGGCGCCAAAGGCGACAAGCTGAAAGGGCGTGTCTGGGCGGCTCAGCACCTCCTCTCCCAGGAGACTTGTGTTGAACATCCACGCTGGCATCACGTCCCGACTCGCCCCCATCTGCGCCACGTATGTTAGATTGAAGACAAAGGCCCTGCCGCCCTTGGTGACGTTGAACCTGGGAGGGGCACGGCAACGGGAGGTGCAGCACTCATTGACTGTGGATCCAAAGACCGGAATGGGGCAGCAGGAAAAGAGAGAGGCTGTTATCGTGCCGCACGAGCCAACACTCCAAAAAAAAAAACAAAAAGAGAGGTGCGTCTCCCCTAAGAGAGGTGCCAACCGCAAGCCCTAAAAGGTGTCCGGCGCCTCCCCTGCATGTGGAGCATAGCGTGTGTGACGCCCTAGGCTCACCTCGTGCGCACAATGGCGTGGTCCGGCTCACCCCGTGCCAGGCTCACCCCGCCCAGGCTCACCCCGCCCCAGGCTCACCCCGTGTCAGGCTCACCCCGTGTCAGGCTCACCCCGTGTCAGGCTCACCCCGTGTCAGGCTCACCCCGCCCCGGGCTCACCCCGCCCCAGGCTCACCCCGCCCCAGGCTCACCCCGCCCCAGGCTCACCCCGCCCCTGGCTCACCCCGTGTCAGGCTCACCCCGTGTCAGGCTCACCTGGTGCCAGGCTCACCTGGTGCCAGGCTTAAAAGACGCCCCAAGCTCACCTCGTGCCAGGCTCTGTACTGCACAGGCATACACGGTCCGCGGCTCACCTGGTGCGCACAAAGCGGTTATAGAGAGTGCCATAGTAGAAGGTGTTGACAAAGTGCGGCTCGCGCACACGCACCTGCACGCGCATCTGTACTGCACAGGCATACAGAGTCCGCGGCTCACCTGGTGCGCACGAAGCCATTATAGACAGTGCCATAGTAGAAGGTGGTGTTCACTATGTGGGACCCTCGCACACGCTTGCGCAACAACTGCTTGCCTCCACTCTCCTCGCTCTCATTGAAGGGACTCCACCCGAGGGGAAAGCCATGGAACCCGTGAAAGCCCTGTGGGGGGAGATGCGGGCGCACACGGGCAGACAGGCAGAGACAGACAGGCAGAGACAGGTGGCACATTGGTTGGCTGGAAGAGAGAAATAGGGCGGGCTGGGTGGGTACACAGAGATGCCGATAGAAAGAGATGCGGGGCCAAACGGAAAGTACAAGACATTCATGGTGAGTATAAGCATGGAAGGGGTTGAGTATATCTTTGAGGCGGCTCAAATAAGTAGAGTCAAGAATCGATTCAGTCACGTCACGGCACACAGCATGCACCAGGTTGAGTGGCGGCAGGCGGGCATGCAGGCGGGCATGCAGGCGGGCATGCAGGCAGCAACACACGGTGAATGCTTGCTTGCCTGCATGTTGACTTTCTCGGACTCAACAAAGGCCGAGCGTGAGTCCGCTTGCAGGAAGACCTGCAGGAAGCCGAACAGGTATCGCATCTCTGAGTCACCTGCCGTAGCCGAGTGTGCACACACAGACAGACAAAAGGTGTGGAGGAAGGGGGTACTTTAGTGCGCGCGAGTGTGCGTGCAGGAAGACCTGCAGGAAGCCGAACCAGTAGCGCATCTCTGAATCGCCTGCCGTAGGAGGGAGTGACAAAGGATGGGGTGCAAGCAGAGCAGCACAGGCACCACATGGCATTACATGTTTAGGAAGAGCTGGAGGAAGCAGAACGAGTGGCACATCGCATCTCTGAGTCGCCTGGCGGACCCACGTGGACAGACAGACAGACGACAGGTGAGGAGGAAGGGGGTTAATTACTCGGCTCAAAGGCTCAACAAGTAACGCATTTCCGAGTCTCCTGCCGTGCACCCCGTACCCATGCACACCACCCCCTACAAGTGAGCAGCATGCGACACCTATCCATGAGCACCGCTCCCTACCCATGAGCAGCACGCGCTGCTTGCGGTGGAAGCACCGGAGCACACCGGTGGGCTGAACGGACTTGAGGCGGCACGCGTGGGTGCGCCACAGCTCAGCAACCCCCTACCTGTGAGCAGCATGCAACACCTACCCATGAGCACCCTTCCAACCCGTACTCCCCCCTACCCATGAGCACCCCCCCTTACCCATGAGCACGCACCCATAACCCCACCCACCCATGAGCAGCACGCGCTGCTGGAGGTGGAAGCAGCGCAGCACACCGGCGGGCTGAACGGCCTTGAGGCGGCACGCGTGGGGGCGCCACTGCTGGTCCTTCCAGTAGCCCTCGTTGCCGGATGAGCGCAGGAGAGCAGCCGTGCACCAGGGGAGGTTGTTTCTGTTCATCAGGGAGAGGGTGCAAGGGAGGGAGGGTGGGACGGAGGGAGGGAGGGAGGGAGGGAGGGAGGGAGGGAGGAAGGGAGGGAGGGACGGAGGAATGGAGGGAGGGAGGGAGGGAGGGAGGGAGGGAGGGAGGGAGGGAGGGAGGGAGGGAGGGAGGGAGGGAGGGAGGGAGGGAGGGAGGGAGGGAGGGAGGGAGGGAGGGAGGGAGGGAGGGAGGGAGGGAGGGAGGGAGGGAGGGAGGGAGGGAGGGAGGGAGGGAGGGAGGGAGGGAGGGAGGGAGGGAGGGAGGGAGGGAGGGAGGACGGACGGACGGACGGAGGGAGAGCTGCCTCGGCTGACAGTCTTTGGATATGATTCGGATTTGATATGGTTTCTGTTCAGATTTGAAATTGGTGACTGCACTGCATGGGGGAATGCAGGAGAATGGCCGCCTCGCCTTCATTCTCCTGAATCTAAACTGCCTGCCTGCAGCCCATCTTGTAGAGCCCATCTTGCAGCCCATCTGGTTTGGCGAATGCTTCTGAGGCACCTCAAAAGATGCAGCCCATCTGGTAGAGCCTCCCTGGCTTTGCGAATACTCAACACCGACTGGCAGAGGATTCTTGAGGCGCCTCAAAAATCACCAACCGGCAGAGCCTTCCTCGCTCTTCCTTCTCCTCCCACTCTACTCTGGAGCCCACTGCATACTCCAGATCATTGCCGCCGAATCCACACCAACCAGCAAAGCCTCCCTCGCTCTTGAACAGCCAGTCTTCTCCTCCCAGTCTACTCTTGAGCTCACTGCATACTCCGGCTTATTGCTGCCTAGGCAAGCCCCCACTGATGCGCCATCACGCTCACCTGAGCGCGTCTGGGAAGTATGGCTGGGGGCTGGAGATTTGCAGCTTGCGGCGGGCCACGAGACGATAGCTGCACGGAGGTGGGCAGTGGTGGGACGGTGGGTGGTGCACGGAGGTGGGCATTTTTTAGTTGACCCAAAAGTCACCTGCATGCTGGAGACCTGCAGCATGCGGCGGGCCACGAGACGATAGCTGCACGGAGTGACGGGGGGTGGTGCGCGGGCAAGCAGTGGTGTGCGGGCAGGCAGTGGTGTGCGGGCAAGCAGTGGTGTGCAGGCAGGCAGTGGTGTGCTGGCTGGCAGTGGTGCGTTATTCGGTGCCACCGCAGACTCTGCATACCCTCCCTCTCACAACAGGATGCGCCTACTTTTGGTAGCCTTGGTTGTAAAGTTTGTTGAGGGCAGTGCGTGAGCAGGTACAGCGAGAGCAGGTGCAGCGAGAGCAGGTACAGCGAGAGCAGGTGCAGCGAGAGCAGGTGCAGCGAGAGCAGGTACAGCGAGAGCAGGTACAGCGAGAGCAGGTGCAGCGAGAGCAGGTACAGCGAGAGCAGGTAGGGCGAGAGCAGGTGCAGCGAGAGCAGGTAGGGGGCTCAAAGGTCGACATTCAGTGCCACTGCAGCGCAGCCACTGCATGCCCCCCCACACCTCAGCACAAAGCACCTACTTTTGGTAGCCCTGGTTGTAAAGTTTGTTGAGAGCGGTGCGGGTCTGACATGCGTTGGAGAAGACCAGGTGTAGCGAGAGCAGGTAGGGGCCTGGGAAGGGTGCTGTGAAGCACACCTGGGGATGCATGATGATCGCATGGGAGGGACGCATGGGAACACAAGGAGCGACATTTGAGTCGACTCAAACGTCAGGTCACCATGATGCTGTGGGACGCATGAAAACACAACGAGCACCAGCAGAGCAGAGCACGGCACAATTAGGTCAAGTGGAAGGGGAAGGGGGGGCGGGAGATCGAGGGCAAGGGTTTTTGCATGGGGCGCAGGCGAATTTTGAGGCGCCTCAAACATTTTGTGGGTGCGGGCGGGGGAGTGAGCGAAAGGGCAGGCAGGGGTGTTTGAGCCATGCAACCATACTCAGAGCCATTTGTTTTGAGAGAAAAACACCTGGTGGGAGGAGGAGGAGAGAGCACCTGGTGGGATATCCTCCCAGGATAGGATATCCTCCCTGGATATCCTCCCTGGATATCCTCCCAGGATATCCTCCCAGGATATCCTCCCAGGATATCCTCCCAGGATATCCTCCCAGGATATCCTCCCAGGATATCCTCCCAGGATATCCTCCCAAGATATCCTCCCTGGATATCCTCCCTGGATATCCTCCCAGGATATCCTCCCTCCTGGATATCCTCCCAGGATATCCTCCCAGGATATCCTCCCAGGATATCCTCCCTGGATATCCTCCCGGGATATCCTCCCAGGATATCCTCCCTGGATATCCTCCCTGGATATCCTCCCAGGATATCCTCCCAGGCCTGGCATGGCATGGC